ACTTTGCTGTGCTTCATTTTGGTGTCTGGCATTTCTGGTAGAGCACTCCTAGATGTCTTCTAGGATGGGGGCACCAGAGAAAGCCTCCTTCTTCCCACAACTGCACACCCGTGAAAGAGGGGGCAGAAACTTGCTGTACAGCTCTCCCTGGCTGGTGCCTTTTGACAAAAGCCCTGTGAAGGGAAGATGATTCTTGTCTAAGAAAAGCATTAACCCCTAAGGATTTGCTCAGTTTTACAGGGTGCCTTAGAAACAATTATATTTAATTTCTAGTGTCTGATTACTGCTTTCATTTTCATTCTCTTCTGAAAGGGGGGAACAGAACATGGTATGTTTCAAGAAGGAATAAAAATGAAAGCAGGAAACAGCATTGGCCAATGGATAGTGGTGCACTGGAGTACGACACAGGAGCAGGGCCTGTGAAAAACATTTTGGGGCCTGGTGTGTCCCAGTAGGGAACCCCCCTCCCATTTTGGCAACAGGAAATATGGGATCTCTGAAGACCTAGACTGGTCCTCTACCTTCTACAGAAAACCATCTCTGTATCTATTCCATGCTCATCATCGTTAGGGGTCCCCTGTGCTTGGAGGCCTGGTACAATTGTGTCCCCGCTCTCCTTCTTTAGTTGGCCCTTCTCAAGAGACCTGGGTGTTGTTCCCAGCATTCCCATTGACCCGATGGGCGTCCTTGGGCTTCTCTGTGCTTTTCTTGTCCCCGTGTGGCGGTGATAATAATTCCTTCCTTTTTAAAGCCTTTGAGGTCAGCTACGAAAGGTGCTATTCAAGAGCTTTCTTGGTATTCTCATCTGTAGAGTAGTATTTTAGAGAAATAATTAGGCTTGTAATAAAGTGACTTCAGAATATCAAAAATAATTGTGCATGTTGAGAGTAAACACCATCGAAACAATGGGAGCCGGGAAGAGTGCAGTGCCTGCGGTGCATCAAAATGACATTATGCAGCACTGACATTTACAACAGCGGCCTGCTTCTAGATTGTATTTGCCATGTTTGCTGAGGTCTTCTATAAAACGAAAGTAATGGATGAAGGAACAAGAAAAGTATTTCAATTTTATTTTTCAACAGAATGAGAGATTGGGTGTTAATAACAGTTTTTTCCCCTTGAAAGCCAGGCTACATATCTGTTTAGGAGGTAGTTACAGAGATGCCAAAGCTTCCTGCCATCATATTCAAAGGAAAATTATCAGGCAGGAAAGTCATAGAGCAAAGAAGATGAAATTATCTTTTTCTCATGGCAGAGTATTTCAGGACAGTAATTATTGTTTATCCTCTCTGGATATCGGAAGTGTTGATAAATATAATTATTTTGTTTGCTTTCCCTTGACTAATGCTTATGGCTTAGGTGAATCAATGGTGGAACTAATGTATTTAAGTCTTGTATTAATGAGAAAAAGAATTTCTCTGCTAAGGACCTGATCCTGCCAACGCTCATTACGTGGCCTGGTGCTAACGAACCGATAAGTCATCCATTGACATTCAAGAGCAAGTGAGGACAGGTTTCAGCTGCAAGACGCAGACATTTTAAATGAGTGCCGTGGAGCTTCTGAACTGGAACAGCCCAGGTCTGAAGGATGAAACTCTGGAGGCTGAAATCTTTGTGTCTCTTTTTGCAGGGATCCCCAGAGTCTGTATCCCCCTGAGGTTAGCAACGCCAAACTGCAGTATGCTGGATGGGGTCCAAAAGGGCAACAACTGGTAAGCAAATCTAAGTGTACAAATGAGTTTGTAAAATTGTTGTAATTCAAGAGGTACTCTTCCTCATCTCATTTCTTGGAGCCCATAGGACACGTGGATGTCTTTTTGGTATATCATTCCCATCATGAAAAATACTAATCCAGACCTAGACATTGTGGCTTCAAAGTGGGCATCCATCAATGCACTAGTCTGTCAGCACACAACTCACTAAGACAAGCCGAGACCTTGATGCGTGGGTGTTTGGTTAGGCCCACGGTACAAAATAGCTAAGTAAAAAAAAAAAAAAGGTAACTTATAGGAAAAGCCACCAAGGCTGTTTCATATTTACCTCATACTGGCTTTACTTTGTCTGTTGTCTAGGTCCACCCTACCTTGACCCTTCTGATGTTCAATTCTGCATGTGTCAAAAAGGGCAAAGGGCTGGTTATATCGATTTATCTGCAATGGCACCTGCAAAGAGCCTGTTTTAACAAATATAAGTTGTGTATTTATATCTTAAAGAAGGCAAACCAACAGATTTTCTTTTAAATATAGGAAACTAGCAATATGTCAATGGCAATCGGAGATAATGGATCTGATTCTCCTGTTGGGCAGAGAGAAAAATTCTCTCTTTGTACCTGCTTTATACCTGATTTATAACATTTCTGCTCCTCAGCAAGATTATGCTTCCCTGGAGCTTCTCCAGACTTGCAGCTCTCTTAAAAGTTTAGGCAGAGTTGGCAGGGGGAGGCCATCCCTGGAGGAGCAAGGGATGTTTCAGTTGAAGACTAATGTGTATTGGCCAGTCCACGTGGAGAGTGGGTCCACAGCTGTACTGGATTTGCAGTAGACTTGGCCAATGATGGTTTGTGAAATGGACATGGGTAGATAGTGAGGCAGGTCTGAGGGGTTAGAAAAAAAAGGAGCTCAAGTGGCATACTCTGGTTCAAAAACCATCATGGATTCTTCATTGCTCATGAATGAAGGCTTCCAGACCAGGAGAGTCATGAAATACCAATTCTGTCGTCAGCTATCTTGGAATTCACCCATCTGATAACAAATGAACCCATTTTAAGCATTTTTATTAGTCTTTTCTGTTGGAAACAGCAGAGCTTATAGAGTTTGAAGGACACTTTTGATCAGTTGATAATATACGGTGTATGGTGACATATGTTTAAAGATATTTTCAGTAATCAGAGACTGCCTTTAAGGAAATTTGAAGAACAATAAGAGATTCCTCTCTTCCCTTGCCCCTCCTCATACACATTCATTTGATCTTTATTTTAGTTCAGCAAAGGAAGCGAAACAAAAGTTCCAATTTTCTAATCTGAAAGTTGACTCTGAATTGTGCTAATGATATTCTCTAGTTCACAAGTGCCTCTCTTGGTCCTTGGGTCTTGGCTGTAGCTGTGTTGGTCTAAGTACATAGGCGGACAAGGTTCTTTGGGAAAATCTGATCTCCTTTATTAGACCAACTAAAATAGTTGGAAAAAATCTTCTTGCAAGATTTTGGGTACAAACACCCTTCTTCAGGCAAAGGGAATGTCTGCAGTTGTCCCTTAGCAGATTGTCCAGTTCTGAAGGAATACTATCGTTACCTACCTGATGCTCTTTGAATGCTGGCAATTCCTCCAGATTCATCTTTAGAGCAGGGGACATAGCTACGTCATAGCCAAGTGCAATGTATTTGTTAAAAACATGCTGTAACTGTTCAATTATATAACACAAGGAGAAATGTCTTCCTTTGTTGGCTGACGTCCCTGTACCACTGAAATCATTGGAGCTTTTTTCCTTGATCTCATTAAGAGCAGATTCAGGGTTTTGATACCCTGAAGCATTGGGTTTGGTAGACCTTGTTCTAGCTAGTGTAAGTGAGGATATTCTCTTAAGCATCTACCATATTTTCTCATGTACAACACACTCCGGATATCTCATGTACCCTATTTTTGGAAGGACACAAGAAAGACAATAAATCTTACCTTGGAGTGGAGGTAGGTATGTAGGGTCTGGGGTCTCCGAGCCCGTGGGTTGTGTGGTGAGACCCAATCTGGCAGAGCGGTGATGGGACTGTGCAGCAGGTCTGATCCGGCAGCAGTCTCAGACTCAGTGTCCTGGGTCCAACCCAGCATGTGGCTCTAGAGCCAGTGCATGGAGTTGGACCCAGCTTGCTCAGTCAGACCTGGTACTCAAGCTGCTGACCAGCCTGTGTGCCAATCTGATCTGGTGTGGTTGCAGGGGGTCCCCACAGGTGTGGGTATCTGGCAGTAGGGAGGGATTGCAGTGCTCTAACACTGCTACCATTCTGCCCCTTCCCTCCTCCCACCCCCCTCCCCACCAATATATCAGACCTGTGGGGAGCCCTTTTCTTTGCATGCAGTGTGCACCCCAGTTTTCCCCAGCTGGCTTTATGGAGAAAGATACAGGGTTATACGTGTGAAAATACCATATCTGTTACATGAAACAGCATATCCTTTTGCCACTTCTAAATGCAGTGTCTTCTATTTTCATTGCATTCGCTTGTTCTTGTAGTCTGAGATGGATCGAGGATTGCCTTTTGCATACTATTCAGTTTGGATACCTCTTGGTATATTTCTTCCCCTGCCAGCCTCAATGGTCTTGGATTTATAAACAAAATAAAGCTATATATTTTTAAGGAAAACCTAGTATGCCAGTAAGGCTTTTACATGCACTAACACTGATAAAACACAGTCAACATAGCTTGACACAGATTAGTTCAGAAAATACAATAAAATAGATGGAGGGAATATACTGTGCTCATTATTCAGTGGCACTTCCTAAAGTGCTGCAGTACATAATGGTTATTTGCATTCTAGTGCAATCGGTGTCTGCTCTGATGAAGGGCTCTGGTAGTGTCGTTGATTCTCCCTTCATAGAAGCAACTTATTAGAACCCCAAACCTGCTCTGTTTTGCAAAATGGTTGATACATTTCTGAAAGTTATACCCAAGAGATCCTTGGATCGCTGCTTTGATTATTTAAGATAGCCTTTTGCAGTAGCGTTAGAGCAGCCTCACTAAGATAGATCTGCCACTATTAACTGCTGTCGGTATTGCCAACCCCACTGTGTCAAAAGTCATGACACAAACTCTTAAAAATCAAAAGAGCTGGAATGTAAGTCATGAGATGCTATTTTTAGGGGGGTATGTGAGAGGGAGGATTATTTGTGACGGTGTGGAGGGCTGTGGGTATGTGTGTGGGGGGGTTGGATCCCGGGGAGGGAGGATCCCTGCACACCCTGGCAGGATGCGGGGTACTGTGGGTCAGGAGTGAGGGGCAGCAGCAGGGCTGGGGGGGCTGTGGCTTGGGAGTAAGGGACAGACACACACATGGCCAGACAGCCACCCACAGCTCTGTTGCATGACCCACCCTCCCCCCAGATCCCCATTCACCCCAGCCCCTGCCCACTCCCTTCCCCACCATCGGGGCCTCAATCAGCCCCCCCTGCCCCTTCCCTCTCCCCCCTGCCCCTTTCTCTCCAAAGACTTACCAGCTTGGCACTCTCTACACATGCTGGAAGAAAAAATCCCAGGATTTGATCTCTCTATCAGGAGATCATGAGTCAGAGTTAATTTGACTTGGAAATCAGGAGTCTTGTGATTTTTTCATGAGAGTTGGCTTTACTGTGCTGTGCTGGCCAGAATCTCTGAGACCACTCTCCTCTCCTATCCACAGCACATATTTTGCCCACTCCTGTCTTTCATGTGTTGGGAGAGAAGGGGAAACGGGTAATGTTTGCTTTGTACTACTTGCTTATTTCCTGCCTTAAGGGACAGCGCGTCTCCCTGACTAGGACAGCTGTCCAGCTGGTTTGTGCTGCTTTGGAGCCAGGACAGAATTTGGCCTCAAAGGCTTCTTCTTTTCATAGCTGTTTTTTTAAACTCCCTCCCCCACTTCCCTCCAAGGGGCAGCTTTTGGTCACTAACTTCTGCTTCAACGCTGGCAGCTCTTTCTTGGGCATGCCTAATGAGACTGGAAGGGAAAGAAAAGTGAAATCTGAAGCAGAAGCAGAAGCAAACCAAACAGTCTGCATCCTTTATAAAAATCTTCTCCCAAAAGCACTGTTCCCTTTTTCCTTGCTTTCTTTTGTCTTTTCCTGTTATGTCACAAGTTCATTTCAAATTAGAAAGTCCTTGGGACTCCCCACTCGTCTGTGCCAATAGAGCTGTATACATGGTAGCAAATAGTGTCGCTGAGGCAAGGACTTGAGCTACAAATGCAAACACAGGTCACTTTTGACACTTGAAATGAGTGCTTTGCCCCAGCTTTTCTAAAATTTAAAACCAATGCAGTCAGCTGCCACTCAGTGATACCAGGGCCTGGGCCAATCATTCTTGCGGTCTCTACAAAGCCTTTCCATTATGTTCAAGAGCTTGAGAAGAAAACTGCTGCTCATAAAATGTCGCTTAACTAGAAGTAACTTAGCAAGCCCAAACTTGACCATAAAATGAATATGAGCTGCCAGTATGATGCTACAGTTAGCAGAGCAAACAGTTCACTGGCATGCATCAACCAGTGTACCTCAAGCAAAACTAAGGAAGTTATTCTCCAGCTCTGCTCGGCATTGGTGAGGCCACAGCTGGAGGACTGCATCCAGTTCTGGGTGCCACACATCAAGAAGGATGTGGAGAAGCTTGAGAGAGCCCCGAGAAGAGCCACTCATGTGATTAGAGGCCTGAAGAGCAAGCTGTATGAGGAAAGGCTGACAAATATGGGACTGCCCAACCTAGAAAAGAAACTTTGCAGGGATTTGGTGGTAGCTTACAAATATATCCTGGGAGAGCATCAGGAGCTAGGTGAACAACTATTCACCAAAGCACCCGAGGGGAAAACCAGGAGCAACGGTCATAAACTCCTAGAAGAAGGTTTCAGTCTGGATATAAGGAAAAGCTTCTTCATCGTTCATGTGACCAGACTCTGGAACAGACTCCCAGCGGGTGGTGCAGGCACCTACCCTGGAGATCTTCAAAAGGAGACTGGACACACACCTCGCTGGGGTTATTT